CATGTGCAGTGATGAATGTCTATTCAGAGCCAGACTCCTCTCATCTAATTTGCCTGAATAATGATGTTTGATCGTACTGCAGTATATCATTCATGTAGTACAACTAAAATTGCCTTGAGAAGTCTGGGGCCTCATGATCATGATGTTACATAGGATTTTTTCCTGAAGAAATAGCTAGAAGCTAAGGAAAAAAGAGAATGTTGGCTTTATAAGGAAGTTTATGTTACCAGAACCTCTATAGTTACTTTGTCATTGAAAAGAGACATTGATGCTAACACTGATTAGTTGAGCTTCTCAATCCTGGGTGCGGGGTGCTTTATCTGGTTTGGGTATTTATAACCATTGAGCACGCATCTGCAGTGGAAACTTCTACAGTGACAGCAATTTGTTGTTTTGGTTTTTCATTCAGTTTTAAGGTTTTACTGTAGCCAGAACTGTCTGTGATTTACAAGAAAAAGACAAAACAGGTTTTTATACAAAATTAGAGATGATACTGAGCCACAGTGTGGTTGTTTCACTATAGACAGAAAAGTCTTAGTTATTTCGATGAATTTGTTTTCAAAACAAACTATCATTCCATAATTGCATAGTGGTAGTAAATTAGGACAGTGGGTAAGAGACACTAAGAATTCCCTGACCGTTTCTTGGGGTGTCATTGCGTCTTTTTTTTCTCTTAAGGAGTTTAACGCTGCACCATCAGCCCAGTGCCACTGGCCACGTGGTGCTTTAGAGCACTTGGAACGTGGCTCGTCAGGACTAGGTTGTGCTCAGAGTGTGAAATCCACACCAGAGCTCCAAAGACTTAGTATGAAAAAAAGTAAACTATCTCAATAATTTTCCCTATTAATTACATGTTGAAGGTGTAAACTTTTAGATATATTGAGTTAAATAAATACATTTAATTTCACCTGTTCCATCTTACTTCTTATAATATGGCTACTAGGAAATTTTAAATTACCTTTCCGTAGGCCAGCACTGGCTTCAAGGGTATCAGAAGATACTTAAGTCAAAACCACCTGTACTAGATCTCTTAGCCGTTCCATTTGTTTTTCAGCCTATTGTAAGCTAGTTTTTTCTCCCACCATTTTACTAAAAGTTACCTTCTCTGAGTTCGCTCATGGTCGTCGTTCTTCTCCTTTTCCCATCTGATGGCGCTCTTCTCCCTGTTTCCTGCTCTAATGTTACACCTGGGTTCTCGCTCGCAGACCAGTGTCTCTCCTCTTTCCTGACTCCTGGTGTTTACCCCGAAACATAGTTATCAGCCATCCTTCCTCTCGGCCCACTTCTCTTCTTGCTGTACACTCTTCCTCTCATTTGCTTCCATGCTTTTTAGTCTTTCCCGTGTGCCGCAGGCCCCCAAAGCCGTGTCCTCGGCCTTGCTGTCTCTCCAGGCTGAATTTCCAGCTGTCCTGGCTGGTCCTGGGAAAGCTGAAGCCATGGTCCTCTCTGCGGACCCCATGTGTCAGTCAGCGAATGACACCGTGCCCTCTTCCTGCCCCTACATGGCATCAGTCACGACGGCCTGTGGATTTTGCCTCTGTTACGTGTAAAATTTCTTTCCTTTCATTCCATGCTTCATCATATCTTCCTCACTCTGTCTCTCTCCCCCTAGAGACTTTTAAAAACAGGTTAAAGACACGTTTTTCAGAAGGCTGTTTCCAGCCGCGTGGTTGTATTTGACAGTCCCTTGCACATCGTGCTGTGTGCTGGCTCCCCTGTGTACTTTGGCCTGCGGTCTTGTCTTTCCCTGGAATGTCCTCCGTCCCTCCCCTTGCTCTGCCTTCTGCCAGGCACTCCTGAATGGCCCACAAAGCCCTGCGAGTCCTGTCCCCCAACCCCATTTCCTTCCAGCCTCACACCTGCCCCTCACCTCTGTGCGTGTCTTCAGCTCGCAGTTCTTCCCTCTGCCACCCCCAACCCCGAGAGGCTCCGCCATGACTGGCTCCTTCCTAACATTGGTTTGCCCTCAAGTACGCCGCCTCCGGGAAGCCTTCCCTGACTGCCCTGGAAATAGCATCCGCACACACACATACCCGACGGGCACTCTCTCGCTCCTTCCCCCACTCTGAGTTCTCTGTAGAGCTTAAAACAACCTGAGGTTGTATTATTTATTTGTACTTATTTGACCCTATTGGAATATAAGTCTCCAAAGGAACGGAGGGCTTGTTTTCTGCCATCTCCTCAGGTCACAGCTCACTAGGTAATCAGTAAAACTTTGCGGAATAAGTGGTGAAATCCTTCTTCCCTGTCAGGGCTGCTGCCCTGCCTCCTCAGGAACCCTCCAAGGCAGAATCATTCCGTCCTGTTCATCTCTTGCCTGAGTGCTTTGTCAACTGCAGCACCTGAGCTAGTTGAGCCCGACAGGCCCATCTGTCTTCTGAGTATGAACTCAGGACAGTAGGGGCTTGGCAGTACTCATAGTTATGGTACCACCTGTCCTGACACAAAATAGAGACCCTTTAAGGGTTTCTTTGTAGTTAGTCACCTTTCCTCTTTTCACTTACTGGGCGAGTAGCAGCGCGGGCCTGCTGGGTGCCGGGCCCTGAGCCCGGTGACGTCACCATGGCCAGGACTGTGGCTCCTGTTCCCACGGAGCTGTAGCCTCTTCCCCTCTGTTTCTGAATCCAGACTGAGATAAACCTACAAGCATCTTCGTAATAGAAAAGAGTAGGCCGGATGGCTGGCTCGACAGTAAGACCCGTTCAAAGAGAGGGCCCCTCTGTACCTCAGCATCCTCTGCCGTAGGGCAGCCCTTCACGTTGCTGCTTCCCTGCCGTGTTAGGTCTTCTCGCCAAGTTGACAGTAGGCAGAGCAGAACAGAGAAGAGCGTCCCAGGTGGCGGGGGTACGATGACAGACATCAAAGGGGAGAGGTTAGGTGAAGAGTTGGCTGAAGGGACCTGAGCCAGAGAGAGAGGCTGTGAGTCCAGAGGGGCAGGTGGTCGTCGGCCTTGGGTGCAGGTGGAGGTGCGGGGTGGGAGTGGGGCGAGGAGAGCGGGAGCCTCCAGATCGGGCTCTGGGGCCCAGCAGTTAGTGGGCGGGTCGCAGGAGACGGGCCAACAGCAGCAGCCGGGGAGGTAGCAGGGAACCAGGACGGTGTTCTGTTCTGGAAGCCGAGAGAAAAGGAGCTGGTGAACAGGGAGGGAGCAGCAATGTGAAGCGCCACTGAGACGCGCCGGTGCTCAGAGGAGAGCCCGAGGGCGCCCTTGGCTTTGACCGACCTGGGCGGCGACGAGAAGACGGAAGCCGGATGGAGCGGTTGCGTGGAAGTGGAGGCGCCGCGGAAGAGACCGAAACGCCTGTTAACAGAACAACGTGTCTTGTACGAGACGCCGGGGAGGCGAGAGGGGCCGGGGGAGGGGAGGGCAGAGAGGGCTTCGCAGAGGAGACGCCACCCTGTGCCGGAGGGAGCCGTGAGGATAAATTTGCCAGGCCACCGGGGAGGGGCCTTCCCGAGCAGAGGCCTGAGGTGTGGGCCGTGGGTCTTGTTGAGGGACTACAGCCCGACTGATTTGGAGCGCAGACTCCCCGCAGAATGGTGACAGGAGCGTCATCTAGAAAGGGAGGGAGGGGCCGGAGCACGGAACATTCTGGACGCTCTAGTGAGGTACTTATACTTTATTGGTGCCAGTGTCCTCAGTTCACCTTTGGAAGTACTCTTAACGGCCAAAGACAGTAAGCGCCGACCCATTCTGAAGCGCGCATAAGCCTCTTTCAGATCTCATATTTTATTTTAAAAACTGGGATGAATTTTACATTCTAGTCCGTAACGTATCAGCTTGACTTTTTATGCAAAGATGTCCTAGTTATTTTCAGCTGAGCAAAAATGACTCCAGGAATGCGAAGCTCATTGGTCCTCTGGGTGGCGCTTACCACCGCCGTGTACATCCCACCCGCCCCGTCCCCACTGGAGTGTGTCTCTTGGCGAAGAACAGCCAGATGACCACAGGGAGAGTGTCACGATCAGACTTACAACATGGGAAGGTTGTCGTACGTGGAGGGTGGGTTGAAGGTGGGGAAACTACACACAGGGGGGTAATGAAATCCCAGATTTCATGCAGTGGGAGTACTGAGATCTAGGAAATAGAATTCGCATGACCGGTGGCTTCACTAGATGTGAAAGTGGTGGAAAATGAAGGGTACAGAGAACTTCAGGACGATTCCCCAGTGTCTGACTTGAGCACTGAGGCTGGGAATACAGAAGAGAGCAGTGGGTTTGGTGCCCGAGGTGTGTATTGCATTGAAGGCCTTGGCAGGCGAAAGGATCCGATTTTAATTGGCGCTGTGGGCCCGGAGAGGGCTTAGGGTAGAAGTGATCAGCATGGAAGTGGCGGCTAAAGCTCTGATGGTAGATGAAATTGCTGAGAAATAGAACGCAGAGTCAGGAGAAGAGGGCCAGCCAGCAAGAGATCTTGGGCAACACCACTATTTAAAAGCAGAGCAAAGAAAACAGTCGTGAGAAAAATGGCGAGGGAGGAATAGATCCAAGAGGGAATATAAGGACGACCAGTAGTTCCAAATCGTCCCGCCGTCAGTGCCTGCAGGAGCCCCACTGGACTTGGTGGGCCTTCGATTATTAAAGACGTGGTGACCTTAGTGAGAGCAGGTCGAGTACAGGGGGCAAATCCCGATGCAGCTGGATTGAGATGACCTCGCTTTCAAGAAGTTGAGCTTTGAGGGAGTGAGTGTGTTGGCTAGAAAGAGATGCAGGGTCGTGGGGGGAGGATTTTTTTTATTAAGTGGTTTGGTTTGGTTTTTAAGATGGGAATAGATGCACAGTTACGTGCTGACGAAGAGCCGGTATAAGGGAAGAGATGCTACGAGGCCTGCTGCCTTACGCACAAGAAGTACGCTGTAAAAACAGCTGACGAATGACTGTCTACTGTTAAATTTCTCGCTCTCAGTTCCACAGGTGAAATTTGTATGTTTTATGGGCTGCCTGCTCTTTATGCTCTTCATATGCAATCGCGGTTTATTAATTTGGGGGGTGTCATTTTGTAGCCCCAGAATATTCTGCTGACAAGTGACTCTCCACTGGGTGACATTAAGATCGTTGATTTTGGTCTTTCACGAGTACTGAAGAACGGCGAAGAGCTCCGGGAGATTATGGGCACTCCCGAGTACGTGGGTGAGTATTCCCGAGAGCTGCGTGTTTTGTGTTTGGGGTCAGGCATCACCTTCACTGGGGAACCCACATGTGGCGTGATGAGTGGTGGGGCCTGCCGTCCACTGTGGTGAAATTCTACCATCAGAGGTCCCTTCCTTTGTATTAAGTTAAAAAATGGAAAACTTTAAAGAGTAAGGTACCAAATTGGCAGTCCCTTTCCTGGAGGGCTAAGAGAAGCCGAAGGGATTTGCTTCTACAAGGAACAGGAGAGGATGTCAGGTTATCTGAGGGTGGAAGGATATTTAACAAGCAAGGAGCTTTCAAGAACTGCAAGTTGGTAGAATAAACACTGTGAAAGTCATTGCAAGCCCTGTGATTGCATAGATGTGGGAAACAGAGGGCATTCTGCTGGGTTGATGCAGGGCTGAGAGCTTCTGGCAGAAAGAAAGAGAGAGCAGCGAAGTGCTGAACCATGGCTTCTCGGTTTGGTAGAAAAAGTGGTAAACTATGACTTTGGGGATAGACTGGAAGGAAAATGGAGCATAAAAGAATTAGTGGTTGGATAGGTTGAAGAAAAAGAGAGATTTCTGTAGAAGAGCAAAGCAGTAAAATAATTTAAAGGTGTGACCGGGGATTACAGTTTTATCATTTAAAATGTCCGAGCAGAAAGGGCTCTTTGTGATTACAAGGCCTTGGATGTAGCTCTGCAAGGTCAGCTTCTTTAGACTAGGAGGTCGAGAAGCGTGGGTGCCAGGCCGGTAGGGTCCTGCACATCAGTGTGGAAAGCTGCCCAGGGTGATGGCAGCCCGGGGAGGAGGATGGCTTTTGTGTCCGTGGGTGAGAGCATCATTGTGACCAGGAGTAGAGAAGGCTGTGGCCCGGGCCTGGGGGGAAGAAGGAGATCTGCCTGAGGGCAGAGGTGTGAAGTGGGCGGACAGGCCGTCTCCTTCTGGAAGGCCTAGGGGCGTGGCAAGAAGAAGGTGAAAGGAGAAGAGTAGTCCTTGAAGGAGCCCAGGATGGTGGGAATTTATGTAGGAAGGAAAAAAGGGGTCGGGGCGGGGGGGGGGGGGGAAACACAGAAAGTCCCAGGGGACAGGTTGGGTTGAGGAAAACAAAGCTATAGGGCAATGACAGTACAAAAAATACTTTGAAGTTTTAAAATACTTTCTAAAGTCCTGCAGTTTGAAACAGCAGAGCCTTTATTAATTAGGTAATAAAAGATACCGCAGGCAGAAAAACACCCTTCAAATAGTGTGTTTTTTGTGGACTGGAACACAATTTCCAGTACACCAACTGGTACGTCTCACGACCGCTGAGTTAGCGTTAGGAATGTGGCTTAACATGCCGCTGCTTCGGGGGAAGCGCCCGTGAGGAACGGGAGGCCTTGTAAGCTGGAGGAAGGACGGGATGCTGCGGGGCGGAAGGGCCGTGGGCCGAGACGCCGATGGGAATTACTGCCCTGAAGGAGTTCCTGGGGGGCTGTTTGTTTTGTTTCCCTCCGATGCTTTCTGCTCTTAGGTAAATTCTAAATTTTCTACCAAGAGCTTTTTTTCCTCCAAAAAACAAAGCTGTATTCTTTATGATAAAAGCAGTACAAGCCCAACCCCCCAAAACTACAAATAACTCAGAAGGATATAATACAGAAAAACAGGCGGCGCTCCTGTCTCTGCGCCTGGCCTGCCTTTTAAAGGGGGCCCCGTGCCCCCCAGCCCCGCCCCAGCCTTTCATACGCAGAAGGGGCTGCCTGGGTGTGTGCCCCTCCGCACTGGCCAGCTGCGGAACCTCGGTCCCCAGATCTCTCTATACCTCACGGTCCTCTGTCCACGAAACGAGGCTGTGGAAGTCCTACCTCACTGGATCTGCTCCATCACACTCTCACGTCAGCGCTCAGCACGTAATAAACACTCAGAAAAGGAAGCTAATGTTATTTCCTTCCCCACTCCTCCCACCATCTACTGCTCTCTCGGCTCTGCTGTACTTTTTCCCCACCAGTAATTTGGATACTCTGCATTTGATTTGAAGTTTCCTGGTAGTGTCTTTTAGAACTTTCTTTTTCTGTTTTCTTTTTTTGGCCATGCCGCATCACTTGTGGGATCTTAGATCCCCGACCAGGGATGGAACCCGTGCCCCCTGCGGTGCAAGCCTGGAGTCCTAACCACTGGACCGCCGGGGCACTCCCTCTTTTATAACTTTTAAATAACAGTCATAGCCTCTGCTTCTCAGCTCGACAGCTTCAGACAGAAGTGGGGAAACCAGTATCCCCTACACCTCCGCTCTCCTGTTCTGGGGCAGGCTTATCTCCCACTCCTAATGCATGTGCAACTTTCAGTGTTTTGGTTTTCCCTAGAACATTTTCATTCCCTTTTTTATTGTAATTACCCCCGTTTTTTAGGCTTTGATTTTTAAATGGTTTCAGTACTTATTGCCTTTCTTTTCATAGCCTAGTCTTCCTATTTCTATACTTTTGAAAACATTCGTCTTTGGGTTGACTGGATCGTACCAGTGAGTAGTCTTCAGGGAGGATTTTCCTGAATTTCCCCTGTGTCCTTGCACACTTGGGACTGTCTTTCTGTTACTTCTCTGGCTGGCAGCAGTCTAGTTAGATATTATCAAAGCAAACTTCTTCTCAACCCTGTAGGTTGTCTTTGTTGTCTGTGTGTGTGATGCATGTCCTCCAAGGATGCCCAGGTTGTTTCTAACCTTGACTGACTTTGTGTTAACGGGTGGGCATTTTAAAAGCTCACTGCAGCCACAGCATAGAGAGTGGATCAGAGGACGGGACCAAGTGGGGGTCAGGGGGCACGTGCTGTAGACTGGGGGGGGGAGGTCACGATTTAAAAGCGGGAACCTGATGCTTGATTAGATAGAGGGTGTGGGAAGAGGAAAGTGTAAAAGTTGCCAGTTTATATGGCAGTAGTTATGTATTCAGATATTAAAAAAAAAAAATACTAGGACCCAGCATTGGAGGATAGAGGTGCAAAAAGTAAGCAAGTTAATTATAAACATCTAGTTAGACGTTACAGTAATGCATATTGACTTATAACGTGAACTTATTTCATCTTAGCCCAAACCTTGACAGTGTCTTAGTTTGATATTTAAATTTTTCTAAGAGCAAATTTGGCCATTTTTTCCCACAAAACTAAATGTTTTCTTTTGTTTCTGATACTAGCTCCTGAAATTCTTAGTTATGATCCTATCAGCATGGCAACGGATATGTGGTGAGAATTATTTATGATGAATTGATCAAATTAGTTTTAAGAAATGAATATGATACTAATTTTTCTTACATTTTCATTCTGGTTTAGGAGCATTGGAGTGTTGGCATATGTCATGCTGACGGGAGTATCGCCTTTCTTAGGCGATAATAAACAAGAAACGTTCCTCAACATCTCACAGATGAATTTGAGTTATTCTGAGGAAGAATTTGATGTTGTGTCTGAGTCAGCTGTTGACTTCATCAAGACACTTTTAGTTAAGAAACCTGAGTAAGTATTCGTTAATATCGATCTCTATCAATTTTTGAGCAATCTGCTCTGAACAAAAGCAGATTAACAACTGAAACCCCAAAGACAAGACATGAAAGTGTAGACATAAAATTAGATGAAACCTTTGGCTTCTTACATCTGTTGAAAGAAAAAGTGGCAAAAATGAAAATGTTTTTTAGAAAATGTGAACTGCACCTCAGTATAACAGATATTTGCCATCTGTTCTTGGTCTTTCAAAGGGGCTTTTCAGAGATAACTTAAAATACTATTTTTCTATATTGTGGGAACGGCATTTGCATGCAAATGCTAAAACTTTGTTTTATTCAGGAACCACAGTAAGATCTTTGTGGTTCATATGTCCCAAAATATAGTACCTTATGCTCTAAGTTACAGTTGAGGCTTTAAACTACTTTGTCCTAATTGTAAAATGTGTATCTTTATCCAGAGATCGCGCCACTGCTGAGGAGTGTCTGAAACATCCATGGCTAACGCAGAGCAGTGTTCAGGAACCTTCTCTCAAGGTGAAAGGAGCATTAGAAGAGGCACAGGCCCTCCAGGAAGGCGATCCTGTGCCTGAAAGTCATTCAGATACTCAGAAGCCGGAAACTGAGGAATCCGTCGTCACAGAGGAGTTGATTGTAGTTACTTCATATACTTTAGGACAGTGCAGACAGTCTGAAAAAGAGAAAATGGAGCAAAAGGCCATTTCCAAACGCTTTAAATTTGAGGAACCTCTGCTGCAAGACATTCCGGGAGATTTTATCTACTGAGCAGTATTTCCCTTTAGAACTTTAAGATTTCTATATTGGAAACATTATTTATGGACTTCTGGCCAAATGGTACATGTGCTGAAAGTGGATGACCAGGTGTCACTGGTAGAAACTAAAATAACTTTGTCAAACTTGTGGAGTTAGAGAAATCAAGCCAGATTTATAAAGTTGCCAACCAGGAGGTTTAACGGGTAAAGTTACCTTTTTCAGAGTTCTTTTTAAGAAGGGAGATGCTTGAACCTTTTATTTCTGCATCCTGTTTCTCCAGAATGAGAATGTGTATGCAAAGATATCTGTAGTCACTTTCCTTAAAACTCCAACTAAAAGTGCCAAAATTAACATCTTTGTAAATCTGTTTTGCATTATTCATATCTGTATCTGCATATATGTATGTTGATATTGTTACTAAAATTGATACTTTTTCACTTTGGATTTTTTGAGGGGACTAAGATTTTAATTTAAATAAGTATTTTGCAAATTTCTGAGACCTAGAATAACATCCGCTAGTTAATAATGTCTTATTTTTATATTTTGTTACTGCTCTATGTTGACTTGACTTGACTTCTGTTGTCTGTTTTCTTCCTAATGCTTTGCAGCCTTATCAGTGGAAAAGCCTGTGGCTAATTTTAGGTTTTTTCTTCAACATCACTAGTAAGAGTGGTGGTGATTTTTCACCTCTGAAATTGTTTTGGTTTTCAAGGTCAAAGGTTAAGTCACCCTGTAATGTTAACCCAGTGTTCGCTCCGCGTGTCCCTCATCACACCTTCCTTGTCTACCCTCTTTCACAGGCTGCACCCCTGCCGCCTCCTCACACGCTTGTCACCTGACTTTGGTCTCTTGCGAGAGGCAGTGTGATCTGATCAACACAGTGGTGCTTCGGTCAGTGAGAGGATGCTATTAAGTTGTTTTTGTTAATAAAATCCCCAGGAATCGGGGAAGAAATATAAAGCACATTCATGCTGGCCATCGAGCCTCTCTGCTTGTGTTGAATTTCCTATTAGCCCCCAAGCAATACTAGGAAAAGTGGTAAGATGCCAGAATATTTATAAACCTTTACTTTGTTCGTAAACGATTTGACATTGGAAACTTTGTCATTAGGGAGGTACCCTAAGACTTGTAAGATTTATAAGAATATACTCGGTAGCATTTAATTTACTTAGGAGTGAACACTTCAGCTGTATCTGGGCCCACAGTGAACAAATTCCTATTTAAAAAAGTGGACATGTAAAAGCGTATGCTGTATAACTTAAAGCAACTAAATCTTCTTACACAGAACAGTCTGCGAGTCCTTATTTACCTTGTATTAGGTGCTTGTATCGGGTGAACACGACTTGTCTGTGACTTGTGTGCACGCAGCGTGTGCTCTGTACCGTGAGCTACTCGGACCCATCCCTTCGCAGTCCGCTAGGGTGTCACGTGGTGCTTTCTTCCCAGCCTGGTTGCTCAGATGTCAGCCTCAGGACCATGGGAACCCCTAACCATCTGTTTTCAAGTGTGTGTAGGGTACTGGGCTGGACTTTCCCATGCGTGGTCTGCACGAGCTCCCAGCCCTGCCTTGCAAGTGTCGCAGGCCCTGTGTTGTTCCGACACCATCAGGTGAAATTGATTAGGCAGTTCGAACCCTCTGTTTGCACTGTTTTCTCACTAAATTGGCCTATTGATTTATACAGTTTCTTGAAAAGGAGCATTTCTAAACAAGCTCTATAAAGAGGAAGAGGAAATTCTGCTACAGTGGCAATTTTCAATGAAAACCCACGGCCACAATGCTAAAGCCTCAGGTAAGTCTTGAAAAGAGGTAAAATACAATTTTAGGCAAATTTTTATAAATACCTCCGACAAAAATAGGAGGGAGGTGAGAAAAAAAATCCACTATTTGAATGACACATTTTTATACTTGATGGATTTATTCAGTTTTAAAATCATAATCGTGTGGACGACAGTTAGACTTTTTCCAAGCCATTTTTTATACTGTATTCATAATACATTTAATGTAATTGCTGTATCTGTAAAAGAAAAGAAAAATAGACGTGTTTTCTTTTAGCTGGCCACTTTGCCATTTGCAGTGTGCAGCTGTCCTTAGCTGCTCTTGGTGCCTTGAATTTAGAATTGTACACTGCTTTTTTGGAAGCACTTGCACTGGTAAAGGGATATATTGACATTTTTTGGTGTCTGTCATATAAATAGAGCATAAAGAGTCTTCACAGTATTGGACCAAAACTTTCTGTTAATTACTAACCAACTAGCTCTGTTAATTTTTCTTTTCACTTGTTTACAATGGACTAAACTATTCATATCCATGCAATTTAGAACTCCAGTTTTAATTATAATAAAATTCAACATTATCATATTTTAGCTTGATGAGAAGTTATGAAATACGCAAAATGTAAGTGGTTTTAGTCAACTGGTAAATTGTGTTTTAATGTTTCATTTTGTTGTTTTCACATGAAAAGTAGGAGAATATGGCTTTCTCTCATAGTTACAGAGGCACATCAGATGCTAATTGTGGTGTATCTTAAACTTTTCCAACAGACCTCAGTTTGGAAGAAAGTGTAGGAGAGAAGAGGTCGCTTAGAGGCTGCTGGACACGAGGTGAATGCTGTGCGGCTCCGTCCACGGAGGCCTGAGCAACATCGCTCCCTGCCACCGACATGGATCATCTCAAGGTACCAAGAAACAAATCCTAAATACATTTTAAGCTCACACTTGGAGAAATTTGAATTAGACTGATAAAATTAAAAATACGATAGTATTGCTCAAGGTCATTTAGCACTTAGGACCTTCAATTTGTTACAGAATTAAAAGAGCTGGATTAAAAACGTTAACCTCAAGAGCCTTAATTGCCAACTATGCTTTTATTGTCGGAGGGGATATAATTTACAAGTTATGAAGTGTAAAGCTCTAAATCCGTACCAGCCTCTCTCGAGCTTGACAAATGCACGTATTCAGAGAGAGGGAATTACATGGCACGTCCACCCTGCCGTGGCTTTCACTCAGCGTGATTTTGAGACTCATACGTATTGGTGCTTGTATCAGCAGTGTGTTCCTTGTTGTTGCCATGTGGTGCTGTTTGAACACACCAGCTTATGTAAAACCATATCTCTGTTCATGGACCCCAGGGCTGTTGCAGGTTTTGTGTCTTACGAATAAAGCTGCTATAGATATTCTTTTTTCTGTTGTTTTTGTTTGGTGTTTTTTTTTTTTTTTGGCTGCATTGAGTGTTCATTGCTGCTGCTGCATGCGGGCTTTTCTCTAGTTGCGGTGCGCGGGCTTCTCATTGCAGTGGCTTCTTTTGTTGTGGAGCACGGGCTCAGTAGTTGCGGCATGTGGGTCCTAGAGCACGCAGGCTTCAGTAGTTGTGGTGCGCAGGCTCAGTAGTTGTGGCTCACGGGCTCAGTAGTTGTGGCGCACGGGCTTAGCTGCTCGGCGGCATGTGGGATCTTCCCGGACCAGGGCTTGAACCTGTGTCCCCTGCATTGGCAGGTGGATTCTTAACCACTGCGCCACCAGGGAAGTTCAGATATTCTTGTCCAGGGATTTTCTGTGGACACGTTTTCATTTCTCTTAGATTAAACAGGAGTAGAATTTCTAGGCCACGGGATAGATGGATATGTAACTTTTTAAGAAAATGCCCAACCATTTCTAAAGCGATTGTACTGTTTGCCATTCCTGCCAGCAATATATGCAAGTTCTCATTGCTTCACATTTAGTGTTGGCCATCTTTTTTATTTTAGCCACTCTCATGGGCATGTGGTGGTATCACAAGGTGGTTTAATTTGCTATTCCCTGATGATTAATGAGGAACAAACACTATTTCATGTGTTTGTTGAACCTTTTTTGTGTCGTCCTTTTTCTCCCTTTTTATTAATTGGATAGTGAGTTGTGATAATCTTTTATATATTCTGGATACAAGTCCTTTATAGGATTTACATGTTACAGATATTTTTTTCCGACTGTGGGTTGTCTGTTTTCTCAACAGTGTCTTTTGATGAGAAGGTAGCTGTAATTTCGATGAAGTCCAATTCATCAATTTTTGTTTTATATGGTTAATACTTTCTGTATCCTCTTTAAGAAGTCCTTACCTACCCCAAAGTCACGAAGGTTTTTTTTAAGCTTTATAGTTTTAACTTTTATGTTCAGGCCTGCAATCCACTTTACACTTTTGTCCCCTTTGGTGTTAGGTAGGGTCAAGTGTCCTTGTTTTCCGTATGAATATGTAGTTGTTCCAGCACCATTTGTCAGACCAATTTTCCTTTCCGCATTGAACTGTTTTGCTGTCCTTGTCTCAAATCATCTGACCGTATGTCTGTGGATCTACTTCTGCACACTCTTCTGTTTCATTAATTTATTTGCTTATCTTTTTGTCAGAACTTTGTAAGTCCTGATGTCAAGTACAGTAGGACTTCCAATTCCTTCATTTTTCAGACTGTTGTTTATTCTAGGTCCTTGGCATTTCTGAAGAAATTTTAGCGTTGGTTTGTCAACTTCTACCAAAATCACCCCCTAAAAAAGCCTCGTGGGATTTTGTTTGCGATTCATCTGTCAATCAATTTGACTTTTTAACAGTTCTCCCAGGCTGTGAACATAGTGTGTATTCCCGTTCGTTTATTTCAATTTTTCTCGGCATCGTGTTATATTTTCCAGTGTAGAGTCCTCGTACATCCTTTGCGAACTTTATCCCTGTGTATTTTGTTATTTGATGCTATTGTTTTGGATACTCTCTGTTTTTCAGTTTTGGTTTTTGACATTCCTAATCCTCCAGTGGTCAGTTTTAGCTCACTGTGCTTCATCAGACCTATGTTATAAATTATTCAAATAAAAATGAGTGTCATTTTCTTTTGAAGCTCTTCATTTAAAGTCTCGGTCTAAAGTTTTGTTGGTAAGAGTGGAAGTAAGTCTGCTGAATTGAAATTCATGGTAACAAAATTGGGAAGGAATAACATCCCTCCTAATTCTCAAAGTAGAGAGGAGGTAATAGAATCTCAGAGGGAATATGTGGTTTGCCCAGGATCTTAGCAGCTGCCGGCAAAACAGAGGATAGAATCGTTGAGCTTTCCAGGGCTTTAACCTCAGTGGAGTCTACCTTGGGCTACATATTAATGTCCATAAACAATCATTTTTTTTAAATTATTTTTGTGTAGCTTGATTGTGGATGAATTTTTGTTAATGACTGGAGGATAGGTAACCTGAGATTAGGCTGGTACAGAGGTCAGCACATTATGCCCTTGTGGCGTGTTTGGTAAATGAAGCTTTCTTGGAACACAGCCTGTTCATTTACATTTGTCTACAGCCGCTTTCATGGGAAAACCCGCAGGGTTGAGTAGTTGCAACAGAGATCTTATGGCCTAATCAGCCTAAAATAGTTACTCTCTGGCCCTTTACAGAATAAGTTTGCCAACCCCCCTGCCAGGCTCTTGTAATCTAAACATATTCTAAATAGGAGATATTTCCTATTTCAAACCAATACTGACACAGTCCTTTGGGGAGCAGTTCATTTTACATGGCAGAATAATCTTAGGACTTTGCATTCATTCTTACAGTTTTTATTAAAACAAGTGAGTTTTATCTACTAAAACTAAACTATTTTTACTAAATATGTCATCAGCAATAGTATAACAACATTTTTACATAAAAATGTTCTCTTAGTTTCAATACGCTGATCGGTTTTCATGAAAATTATTATCTCTCGGTTATCTCCATTACTGTAAAGTGACCAGTTTTCTAATAACTTGTGAGAGAAATGTACCTAGAAGAAAAAAAAAAAAGATATTTAGGAAGAGAGATGTTTAATCCTCAGAGAGCTGGAGATTATTCAGGAGGGAAGGATTATCACCTCATCTTTGCCCCTTTCAAAGCAGCATATTCAGTGTCCTTGTCCTACACCTTAACAATTATTTCAAAATACAAAGTTTTTAGACTTAAAAGGAGTTGGAAAGATAGTAGTACAGACACATCTTGTGTAGTTGTAGTACAGCGCTAAAGCCAGGAGGCTGACATCCAAGCAGTGCGTGTGTACAGTTCTATGCCACTCTATCACATGTAGTTTCCTGTAACCACAATTTAGATACAGAACTATTTCATAGCAACAAAGACGGGTTGTGTCAACATTTTACCAGTTCAGGTAAATAGTACATCAGACAATGTTATACGTTTTGTTTCCACCACCAAACAATTCCTGAGATAACTCAAGAGGAGAAGTCAAGTCGATCATATTCACCCATGTTTCTGCTCTTTCCATTGTTCTTCTTTCCTGATGTTCCAAGACTTTTTTTCCTCAACATTTTCTGTTTCAAGAACTTCCTTTTGTCATTCTTTTAAGGGAAGTCTATTCAAGCAAATTCTTTTTGTTTTCCATCATCTGGAAAGTCTTTATTTTTCCTTCGTTCCTGAAGAAGAATTTTATCAGATGCAGAATTCAGAGTTGACAATTCTTTTAGAACTTGAAAACTTTTGTGCCATTTTTCTGGCCTCCACGGTTTATGAGGAGACAGCTATCATCTGAATTATCTTTCCCCTATAGGTAAGGTGGTATTTCTGCCTTGCTGCTTTCAAGCTTTTTTCTTTGCCTTTAGTTTTCAGAAGTTTGTGTTATCATAGATTTCTTTAGGTTTATGCTGTTTGGGTTCCACTCAGCTTCTTAAATATATAGGTTTATGTCTTTTGCCAAATTTGGAAACTTTTCAGACGTTAATTCTTTCAAATGCTTTTTTCAGCCCCACCTTTCTCTTCTCCTGGGACTCCAATGACATGAATGCTAGATTTTTTTGTTATAGAACCACAGGTATTATTGTCGGCCTGTTTTCTCTGCTCAGATTGGGTAATTTCTATTTTATCTTCAAGTTCCTGATTTCTTTCCTTCTTTTCAAGTTCAGATTTTCCTGGTTCTTGGTATAAAAGCGTGGTTTTCTATTGTGTATTGGACGTCTGGTTTTATGTCGCGGGACTCTGGATCTTGTCTAAATCTTCTGTTTTAAAAGCAGGCTTTTTCTGACACCGCCATACCGGTGGGTGAAGCGGGGATATGTACACTGCCTCCTCACTGCTGCCAGTTGGGGGTGAAGGTCCAGGCTCACCACTTGGCCTATTCTGACACCCAGGCAGGGGGAGGGGTACCTCCTTATGGCTTCCCACTGAAGAATAGGGGCTCCACTGATGCCGCGGGGGGTGGGAGTATCACCGGGCAGGAAAGGCGGGTGTAGCTCCCCTGGGCCTTCTCCGCCACCACACCCTGCAGAGGACGGGGGCCAAAGGGGCGGGCGGGGAAGGCCTTGTTCTAGCTGAGTAAGGGGAGCAAGTCTCGGCTCTCCACCTGGCCTTTGTTGACAGGCTAGGGTAGGGTTGGGGCCATGTTTTTTTCCATGGTGTCTGGCTGGAATAGGGCGATTACTGTGTGAAAGTTCTTTAGCTTGAGAAAGCAGGCTTTTCTTGGCTTTTGTTGTTGCAGCCATTGGTGTTTCTAGGCTGCTGGTTTCACCAGCACCTAGTCTGGGACATATGAGGCAAAAGAAAGCCCAGGGAACTCACTGCTGTTATCACTTGGGTCCCAAGATCCTCGGCCAATCTGCCTTCTTTTCATTTTTCAGTGTGTTTATTTGATAAATGTCTAGGGTTTTAGCTGTGCTTAGTGGGAAGAATAGGGAAACGTGTGTCTACTCCATCTTGTCCCTCCTGGGGGTTTCTGCTTTTTAAAGTTGACAGTAGGAGAACTCCCTTCTGCGTATTTTAGATTTAAGCAAATTAGTAAATACACCTCGGATTATGAGAGCCAGGTTTCTCTCTGTTGGAGAAGGAGTGACAAGTATGGGAAGGAGGAAGTCTCCAGTGAGTGAGTGTGTGTGTGTGCGCACGTGGGCACTAACACTAGACCACTGAATGTAGTTTAAAATTTCTTGAGGTTCCTTTTTGCCATGAGGATATATCCCACCAAGGATGTTGAGTCAGAACTGTTTGAAAGTCACTTGAAATATTTCTTCTCTGTGTGGTTCATTTGTTTCAATATTTTAAGAAGTATTTTAAAGATTTTTTTTCTTTGTGATTTTATTTTTAAATTATGTAAAAACAAAACAGCATGATTTCAAAGTCAAAAGTGTAAAACAAGGTACATTCAGGAAAGTACAGCTTCCATCCCTGTTTCCTACTTACATCCCCTGGCCATTTGTTTACTTCCCCAAAGGTAACTACTTGTATTGATTTTAGTTATTCTTCCGTTGTTTCTTTTTGAAAGTAGAAGCTAACATATGCATACATATACACATGCATATATAAAATTCCTTTTCACAAGTACAGACTCCTCAACTGTATGGAAGTCAAAGTTTATTTAACCCATTCTCTATCAATGGAGACTTGGGTTATACCTGGGTTGTTTACAGTTTTTTGCTGTTACCAATAGTGTTACATTAAATAACCTTACATAAATGGCATTTTGTATTTTTTGCCAGTGTACTTTGGGATAAAATCTTAGATGTGGGACTGCTGAATAGAATGGTAAGTGTACGTGACATTTTTCTAGATATTGTCAAATTCCCTCCCACAGGTGTTTCATTTTGTCTTTACACCAGCAATTTAAAAATGCTTATTTCCCCACAGCCTTTTGAGAAAATAGGTTCTCAAATTTAGGGATTATTGCCAATTTGCTAGAAGAAAAATGGTATCTTCCTGTAGTTTGAATTTATATTCTTTTTAAGAGTGAGGTTGACCTTTTTTTTTTTTAGTGTGTTTGAGTCACTTGCATTTCTTTTCTGTGAATACATATTTTTTGCCCATTTTTCTATTGGGTTACTGTTTTCTCAACTTTCACTCTTTAGAAATTAAGGATATTAACTTTTGTGATTTAAATTCTAAATATTTTCCCATTTACCATTTGCTTTTTGCTTTGCTTTTGGTATTTTTAGACATGCAGAAATTTGTTTTTATACAGTCAATTTTCCTTATTCTGTAACGAATCATGGTTAGGTGAGTTTCTCCACTTCTGGGTTATAAAAGAATTCACCCATATTTTGCTGCTAGTGCTTAGATGGTTTCATTTTTACATTTAGATCTTTTGATCCAATTGGAATGTATGGTGAGCAGTTGATCCCATTTCATCTTTTTGCATATGGCTATCAGGTTGTTCCAACATCACTTTTCAAATGTCTTCCTCTCCCTCCCTGATTTAGATGCTGCTTTACCATAACCAGATTTCCATATGCACGTCTATATTTTCATTGCATTGTCTCTTCATGTGCCAGCACTTCATTATTTTATTTACAAATATGTTTTAATGTCTAAGACGAGCCCCCCATTCCTTACTCTTCCTTTGCAGTGATTTCCTAGCTATCTTTGCTTATTTCTTCTTCCAAAGGAATTTACAATTAATTAGCTCGTCTTTTAAAAATCACATTAAATTTAACTCAGGGAGAACTGACATCTTTATGATGAAGAATCTTGCCATCCAAGAACATGGTGTGTCTTTCCCTTTGTCCAGTTCTACATTTGTACCTTTCAGTAGTGTGTTTTAGACCTCCCATATAAGTTTTGCAGATTTCTTGCTCACTTTTTCCTAAGTAGTTTTTGTTTTGGTTTGCTTTTTGCTATTTTAAGTATTGTCTGCTCTCCATTACTTCTTCTAATGGTATATTAAATGCCTTTCATTATTAAATGAAATGTGATCTATGATACAGAGGCATGTTTCTAATATTTTCAACTCCCACTTTTGAACCCCGGATCGTAAAATGTCAACTTTTCTGTACACGTTCCTGACAGCACTTTGAACTGAGCAACTGCTGGAGTCGGCGGAAAGACAAGCCTGGATGGTGGACAGGTTACCGAGGAGAGGCTCTTCCCGTGGGTGGAGGCTGGAGGCTTTTCCCATCATCACCCTCTCACCTCCTCCTTGAACGCCCCCCAACCCCTTCATGGGGCCTCCTGTGGATACAGCATCTTTTGCCCAAGCCTCCCAACAAGCAGTATAAATGCTGCCTCGCCTGTAAGACCAGCGATTGGTAAGTATGTATTCATAGTTTTCAGTTTTCATATGGACAAACTGAAAACAGCAGAGTCAGGCAGCCTTCAGAAAGCCCTGTGGAGCTGCTGTCAACAGAGCATTGCCCTGGCCTTCCCGCTGTGCCAGAGGCCACCATCGGTGCAGTGCTGGCTGCTTCACGTGGGTGTCATTCAGTTTAGCTTCATCTTTTTGCTGAATGCAACTTCACCAAAACTGGGAGTAGTAGTATAATTCAGCACAGTCTCTTAAACCGTCATTAACAGTAGAATCATATACTTACTCCAGAACCTGAGGGCTACAAGCTCAATGCAAAATGCTAATGCTGGCATTCATGCTCTGGTCACCTCACCTGTCCAGGGCTTGCTTTTACTGTATCTTCAGCTAACCTATACACTGGCCAAATGGCAGATCTTCTTTCTGGAGCATAGCTCACACCTCCCCTGCTGAGGCCTGTTTTCATGTTTTTTCTATTTGCAAGGCAGTCTCCATCACGTCTGAAATAAGCCCATGAGGTCACCAGTCCACCAAGAGGGAGGAGGGACCTGATTGGCCTCCTGGATTCCTCCTAATCGGTCTCTCTTCTACCTCGTTTTAGCACCGCTGCTTGCAACTCTTCTAGTCCAGTATTACATAAGCCGCTTGTGAGCAGAGACCATACAGCATCTTAGTAAAGGCGCGTGGGAGTCCTACTGCCATTTGTTGGCTGTGATCGCTCTTCTGCAGTCTTCATAAATCTATAATTCTTACAATTCTAGTGAGCCCTTTCTCCAGTCACCACTGGGCTGACTCATGGGGTGTGCTGGGAACACTTGCTCAAACAGTGAAAAGTCTCCTTTGCCTCTGATGATGACGTGCATCCTCCAAGATGTCTTCCAGGTCATTACTGGGAGTCCATGGCTGGATCACAGTGATCACTGGACACACAGGAAGTAGTGGGCTACAGGTATACGGCATGACTTCAAGGAAAGAAAGGACAAGGTCTATTGCAAGGACCGGGTTCCGGCCTGTTCACAATCAACCATAAAGGCATTAAGAAGTCCATGGAAATATGCTCAACTGGAAATAATACCCAAGATGGTGACTTTGAAACAGAAATCAAGGATCTTTTCACTACATACTGTCAGTTGCGTTAGGAAAGCCTCTTCATACAAATCGTACACAAAAACTTACTTGCTTTTACTTCAGAAGAGATGGTCCACTCGGGCCCTGGTTTTCTGTGGCTCGGCCACAGCAAGAAAAAATCCAGCAAACACTGAAAGTAAGTAAAAGCTGTTATAGAACAGTCAGGTATGAGGCACTATATAAAGTGACAGGTACACAATAAAGCAGCACAAAAAAGACTGTACAGATCGTAATATTTATCAACAAAAGCTCTCAGGGAAAGAACTTTTTCACTTCATGATCTATTCAAAGAGCATATTTTTTAAAGACAGAAATTACAGAACAGAAATAACTTCTAATGATGAAAGGCCTGTACTCTGTACTGGCATATTTAAGCTTAATCTTTTCTGAGAGGCTCCCCTCCAATGAATATTAAGAATACAGTAAAGGAGCTCATGAATGTCCTTTACTACACCTGCATTAAGCCTAGTAATACTGAGGGGGTTAGACTGGCCTTTGCAAAGCAAAGCTGGCAGGTTTCTGGATTTTGTAGGCTCTGGCGCTCAGCGGGAAGGAAGGTCTTTGTCCTCTTGCAAGACTAATAAAACCTAAAACCTTCTCATTGATAGGGCTGAAAACTGGGGTAGAGGAGAGAAGAGAAAGAGAGATGAGAAATCAACATTATTAATACTGATTCCTTTTATTTTGTGCTTTGCTTCTATATAGAGAACTTTCAAATTAATTCTTATAAATTATAGTAGCTTTCTGATGAAATTAAAAACTTCAGCAGGGGTCACTGTGGTCAAATTAGAATGATCCTGAGATCACTGTATGCCCACACATGCAGCCGGCCCGACCTGGGGGCTGGCCTGCAGCCACAGGGGCGCACATGGTGAGGAGGGAGGCCGGGCTAGGACGGGCTGATCACCTTCACTCCTTTTTCAGCTCATTGCTGTTCTCCCCACTGGGCTTGAACAGGGGAATCTGCTCGCCATCCTTGAGCTCTAAGAAGACCTCCTGAAGGTTCCACCTGAGAGAAACCAAAAGTATAGTCTCTAATCAACGAAACAGAGGCAAAAGACAGACATGGTTTAAAAGGAAAAAAGCAGTTGTTAGGAATGTCTTAAGTTTTTTAAACACTATTTTATGTTCGCAGTATGTTAACGTTTTAACCTTCTGTTCCAGGCTCACATTATTTAACCAGCAACACCGTCAAGGCAAGTTTTACCAATGAATGGCTGGCACCAGGGAAGAGCAGCAGCCCGCTCCTCCCCGTTTCCTGATCCCCCCGACCTCCAGCTCCGGGCTGGAAGCCGGCCAGCTCCTCCACTAATCCCAGGCTCAGGGGGCAGTGAGTCCAGGGGAGCCAGGCAGGGGCTGCCTGCTCCTTTTGTCCTTGAGAATTAAAACACATCCTGGCTAAACAGCAAACATCTCTGAGAGAGGCTTCCCGTGGGGGAAGTGAGTGAGTGTAGCTACTGGCAACCAGACAAGAAAAGCCAATTAATGGGGTAGAGAGCTTATTTAAAGAATGTGATGAATAATTCTGGAACAGGACCCCATGCCTTTATTCATTTGTAATGACGGAGGCAGCAGTGTTGGAAGCTGCGACATAGCATCAAGTTATGGCAGACCTAGACCACTACAACTGTCAAGTTCTTCAAATTCAGTAGCGTGCACTGGATAAAATGTCTGGACTGAGCTTAAGAGCCCAAGTAGCGGCATGCTGTCCGAGCTGTGAAACTTCTCAAGCTTTGAAAAACTAATTCTTATGCCACAATCATATAACTAAAATTGAAAACGGAAATCGTTTCCATCAGAAGGTTCTCCTCCTGCTGCCTGATTCCCACCCACTTTCCCATCATACCTCTTAAAGGGGGCGTCTCTGGATGAGGTGACATAGAGATAGCCCTCTGACTTGGGTCCAGAGACAGGAATCTTCAACTGGGGGTATAAAATGAGAGAGGTAAGTGTATATATAGTGCTGTCCTCTCAAGAGATAACCTATGAAATCCAGTGATTATCCACAGAACCTGGTTGTTTTCGAACTTGAGCCTAGCTGAAGAATTCACCTTATTTTCCATCTGGCTCCCTTCAAATGCCCTGCCCCTCTCTGGATGGCCTGGTGAGGTCAATGGCAGTGCTCCTATCTGGCAAGGAGACCTTATGTGCCAAACTCAATGTTCTGAGTACTTGCAATGATTATTTTTTAAATCCACGGTTAAAAAAGAACTACTGATGTGTGCAACAACATGGATAAAGGTCAAAAACATGCAGAGTGAAAGAGCCTTACCCAAGAGTATATAATGCGTGATTCCATGTCTTAGACCAAACTAGGCTGGGAAAAAAATGTCAGAAAGTGCCTCTGCTGGAGCTGTGGGGATGTGAGAGGACCAACTGGGAAAAGCATGAGGCAGCTCTCAGGTGAGGGAACAGTCTACATGTAGGCAGGGGCTTGAGTTGCACAGGTGGATGCATTTGTTAAAATTCATCAGGACGGTTAGTTAGATGTGCATCTTTCACAGAATGTAAATTTTACCTCACAGAATGTAAATTTTACCTCAAAAAATATATATTAAGCTCTAGTTACTGATATATATGGCTTATGTATTTAAAGGTGAAATGTATGGATATTTGAAAATAATAAGATAGATAGGTTTCAAGAACAAATAAGGTAGAGCTAGACAAACAGGTATGGGATAAAAGCACACACTGAGCAAAGTATTAGTTACAGAATCCAGGTGGCAGATATATGGGTTCCACAGCATAAATGCTTTGATATTTTCTATATGTTTGAAACTTTCATAATAAAATAGAAAAACAAAAAAAGTCCACTGCTTAATAAAAGGGGGAACTCTTTCTAGCAGACTGGTCCATACTCTGACCTGGACCATAAAGCAGTTCTAAGAGGAGAGCTGGTAACAAAACACACCCTCCTCAAGATATAAAAATCTCAATCTAACCTACCGTCTAAAGGAGTCAGAAAAAGAACAAAGTCAGCAGAAGGAAGGAAATAATAAAGATCAGAGAGGAAATAAATAGGTCAAAAAAAACCACAGAAAAGATCAGTATAACCAAGAGCTGGTTTTTTGAAAAGATAAACAAAAATCAACAAACCTCTAGCCAGGCTCACCAAGAAATAGAGAGGACCCAGATAAAATAAGAAATGAAAGAGGATGGATAACAACAGCTATCACAGAGATACAGAATCCTAAGAGAATACTATGAACAGTTATATGCCAACAAATTGGACAACACAGAAGAAACGGACGAGTTTCTAGAAGCATACAGCCTGCCAAGACCGAATCAAGAAGAAACATAATTTGAACAGACTGATCACTGCAAAAATCCCCTGCAAAAAAGTCCAGGACCAGATGGCTTCACTGGGGAATTCTACCAAACATACAAAGTATTCTAAAAAAAACTGAAGAGGAGGGAACACCTCCAAATTCATTCTATGAGGTCACCAGCACCCAAAACCAAATAAAGACACTACCCAAAAAAGATAATTACAAGCCAATATCTCTGATGAATATAGATGCAAAAAAAACTCAACAAAATATCAGCAAACTAAATCCAACGATACATAAAAAGGATCATACACCATGATCAAGCTGGATTCATTCCAGGGTCACAAGGATAGTTGAACGTACACAAATCAATCAAATGTGATACACATTAACAAAAAACACATGATCACCACAATAGATGCAGAAAAAGCAGCTGATAAAAATTCAACAACCATTCATGATAAAACCTTTCACCAAAGTAGGTATAGAGGGAACACATCTCAACATAATGAAGACCACTTATGACAAACCCACAGCCAGCATAATACTCAACAGTAAAAAGCTGAAAGCCTTCTTGCTGAATTCAGGAACAAGACAAGGCTGCTCACTCACCACTTCTATGCGACATAGTGTTACCGCAAGTCTTTGCCACAGCAATCACACACACACACAAAAGAAAAAGTATGTAGACTGGACGGAAAGAGGTAAAACTGTCACTATTTGCAGATGACCTGATACTCTACATAGAGAACCTAAAACCACCACACAAAAACTATTAGGCGTAATAAATGAATTCAGCAAGGTAGCAGGATACAAGGTTAATTTGTAGACATCTGTTGCATTTCTTTACACTATTAATGAAATATCAGAAAGAGAAAGTAAAACAGTCCCATTTAAAATCGCTTCAAAAAACATAAAATACTCTAGGAATAAACTTAACCAAGGGGGTGAAACACCTATATGCTGACAACTATAAAATACTGATAAAGGAAACTGAAGAGGAGTCAAAGAAATGGAAACATATCCCGCACTCCTGGATTGGAAAAATACTGTTAAAATGACCACACTACCCAAAGCAATCTACAGGTTTCGTGCAACCCCTATCAAATTACCCATGACATTTTTCACAAAACTAGAATCATCCTAACATTTATATGGAACCACAAAAGACCCAGAATTGCCAAAGCAACCCTGAGAAAAATGAACAAAGCTGGAGGTGTAACACTTCCAGACTTCAGGCCATACCACAAAGCCTCAAAACACCATGGTAATGGCACCAAAAGAAAAAGATAAATCAACGGAACAGAATAGAGAGCCCAAAAATAAACTCACACACCTATGCTCAATTAATCTACAACAACGAAGGCAAGAACATACTACAGAGAAAAGACAGTCTCTTCAGCAAGTGGTGCTGGGAAAGCTGGACAGCTACATGTAAATAAATGATATTAGAGCATTCCCTCACACTATATACAAAAATAAAATCAAAATGATTTAAAGACCTAAATATAAGACATGATACCATAAAGTACCTAGAAGAGAACATAGGCAAAACATTCCTTGACATAAATTGTAGCAATATTTTCTTAGATCAGTCTCCCAAGGCAAAAGAAATAAAAGCAAAAATAAACAAATGGGACCTAATCAAACTTAAAAGCCTGTACACAGCAAAGGAAACCATCAACAAAACAAAAGGATAACCTACGGAATGGGAGAAAATATTTGCAAACGATGCAACCGACGAGGGGTTAACACCCAAAATATACAAACAGCTCATACAACTCAATAGCAAAAAAACGAACAACCCAATCAAAAAATGAGCAGAAGACCTATATAGACATTTTTCCAAAGACCTACAGATGGCCAACAAGCATATGAAAAGATGCTCAAAATTGCTAATTATTAGAGAAATACAAATCAAAACCACAATGAGGTATCACACCAGTCAGAATGCTATCATCAAAAAATCTACAAATAAATGCTAGAAAGGGTATGGAGAAAAACGAACTCTTCTACACTGTTGGTGGGAATGTAAATTGGTGCAGCCACTATGGAGAACAGTGTGGAGGTTCCTTAAAAAACTAAAAACAGAGCTACCATATGATCCAGCAATACCACTCCTGGGTAATATATATGGAAAAAACAAAAACTGTAATTCAAACAGATACATGCAGCCCAATATTCATAGCAGCACTATTTATAATAGCCAAGACATGGAAACAACTCAAGGGCCCATCAGTAGACAACTGGCTTAAGAAGATGTATGTATGTATACACACACACACAAAACACACAATGGACTATTACTCAGCTATGAAAAAGAATGAAATATTTCCATTTGCAGCAACATGGATGGACCTAGAGAATATTATGCTTAGTGAAATAAGTCATACAGAGAAAGACAAACACTATACAATATCACTTATATGAGGAATCTAAAAAATAATAAAAATGAATTTATTTACTCACAGACATAGAAAACAAATTTATGGTTACCAAAGGGGAAGGGGTAAATTAGGAGGATGGGATTAACAGATACATACTACTATATATAAAATAGATAAGCAACAAGGATTTACTGTATAGCACAAGGAACTATATTCAATATCTTGTAATAACCTATAATGTAATATAATCTGCAAGAACAAACAACTGAATCACTATATATCAATTAAATTTTTTTTAAAAATCATCAATTATCCTTATCAGAATACTTGAGCACGAACTGCTTTTGTAGTTAGGGGGAAAATATCTCTAATAAAACTATTTCCATTAAAAATAATAAAAACTGGGCTTCCCTGGTGGCGCAGTGGTTGGGAGTCCGCCTGCCGATGCAGGGGGGACGGGTTCGTGCCCTGGTCTGGGAAGATCCCACATGCCGTGGAGCGGCTGGGCCCATGAGCCATGGCTGCTGAGCCTGCGCGTCCGGAGCCTGTGCTCCGCCACGGGAGAGGCCGCAACAGTGAGAGGCCCGCGTACCGCAAAAAAAAATAATAATAAAAACAACAACAAAAAATAAACTAGGTCAGATCAGCTCACTCTTGTCCTCCAAATGTTTCAGGGCTTCTGCTTGTCACAATTAAGTGCACACACCTCACAAGACGATGTCACAGCCCTCTGGTTGCCTCAGCCCGTTCTCCCTGCCCACACCCTCCCTGGGCAGCTGCACCTCTGCTGAGGACACACTGGCAGGGAGCACAGCGATGTGCCTTCGTGTACAAGCTGCTCGGCGTGGCCTTCCCTGTCATCACAACAACCTCCCAGGCCACTAACCTCTCTCCCTCCTAGGCCTCTACTAAGGCATTTGCTTCACCCTGTCTTATGCTGGAATTTTAAACTATAAACTCCCTGAAAGCCTTCTGCTTCTCTGTATTCCCCACACAACTGAGAATCATTCCTCCAACTCAAAACATATTAAACAGAAGAAAAAAACCCTTCTTATATTCAGTTGAGTTTTATCAGTTGAACTATAAAAGAAGATAAGATACAGCTGAAAAAATGGACTGGCATTCCATGGAAGCAATGTAAATAAGCTTTAAAACTAGAGTTTAGGTGTATTTCAAGTTCAAAGCTGAAATACTGGCAAACCGCCAATGATCATTTCTCTACAACCTCCCGTTCAAGATGGCGACCTGAGCACAAACAGGGCTTTCCGTGCCACATCAATTCCCCAGAAAGGAAAAAAATCTATATGAAAATAAATTAATCCATAAGGCTTTTTTAAACGGTGCTGGGTACCACCTAGCGGCAGTTGTACGTAGCAGATTTCCCCATCCCACATCTTTCTCCAGCTTCCTCCGAGACTCCTTCCGGAGGACGGCAGCCCCTCCTCAGCTCAGTAGGCACCCTGCCTGCAGTTCGCAGGGGGAGCACGTTACCTTTGCATCAGCAATGTCCACAAAGTTGTACTTGTCGGTGAGTCGGAGATAGTGAACGTTGAGAGGAGTGCCCAGAGCTTCCAGTGCCTCAGGGTGGCTGTGCAGATGCTCCAACGCCAACTGGTAATAGGAAGCCCTGGAAAAAGTTTCTAGGTGGGAAAGAAAAAGGTTACTTTTTTTTTTTTTAATTGAACTTGGTCAGGTATACTCCCCCTAGAAAGGGAGATGATGTAATTCATGTACAACATGGAAACAGAAACGTGAAATTTATGGGTGGAATTATCATTAGGGACCATCTACCCTGAACTGTCCATTTTAGAGACACCAAAACATAGGAAGTCGGCATCTGCAGCGATGTGGCAGATGACCTTGAGCAAGGTACTGGACCCTTCTGTGCCTCAATTTCTTCACCTCTTATTTCCTCACCTCATTCGTTGCCTCTCTTCATCTAAGGGGTCTGATCAGATCGTCTCTAACTTTCCTTTCAGTTCTAAGTCCTCTGGTTCCATGACTTGCTCAAAGTGGTACAGCTAATCCGAGGCAGAGCTGGGGCCAGAACCTACGACTAAACGCTAACTTGTCAAGTTTATAGATGTATGCCAACATTTCATGCAGATAAAGCTTACAAACTGCTCTCAGCCTCAGGTATCCTTGGCCCAAAGGCTACTAGGAACTCCAGGAAGCACCTCCCTGAAAATGCAAGGTGGGACAAGCCGCCCCAAGGAGAGAGCGAAGGACGGTGAGCTTCCCAAGTAAGGTTTTGCGTTTGGCAACAAGACAGACTTCCCTCTGTAGGCCCAGCCACAGTAATGGACTGAAAAGGCGGCTGGAGCCTGCAGGGGCCAAGGAGGATGCCCCTCCAGTGCCGCTTCCCAGGAGAGGGGATGCTGCAGGCATGAACGAGGTGCCAGCCCTGAGGAGAAGCAGAGGCTGGGTCCGGACAGTTCATCTTCACTGAGCGATTTCTCAGCATCCCACAAGCTGTGAGATCAATGTTTACAACATCCTCGCATACAGGCACTAATATTACCCCTCGTCACATGGATAACTGAGGCCCAGGAAGAAGCCAGACCCCCCCCCCCCATAAGGCCACACAGCTAGTCTAGAGCCGGAGTTGGCTGCAGAGCCCACTGGACTATCGCTGTCAGCCGACCCCAGCCTCCTAAAGGGGAAGGGCTGCCAGGCCCCTGACCCGAAAGTGTACTCATTCCTGTCAAGTCCTGCCTCCGCCCCTCTGGCAGAGGGGAGGGGCTGCTGAGTTGTTCCGGTCTGAATTATCCCTGGGAATGCTCTTCGGCCGCCAACAGACTTGCAGGCCTCCGGGCCCGCCCTGAAGGAAGGTGGGGAAGAGCGGGCGGAGGGGCTGGGGTCGCGGGTGATCCTCACATCCTGGCAGGAAGTAACAGGCTGCGGAGTCAGGGTGAGAAGCCAAGCTGGGCGGGCATAAAAGATCTTCAAAGAAAGTCAGTCTGGAGAAAACTACTGCTGCTGCTTCGCAACCAGTAGCGTGGAAATGCCCTTCAATGCCTCGGCTGCTCACAAGAAGGCTGCTCACAATAATCGTGGCCTGTCTTTACAAATTCAAATGTGGGTGCAGAGGGCTGGAAGCTGCATCTGCCAGGATTTTGCCAGCCTGGACACTGCTTTTATTTTCTGCTCTTGCCAGCGTCCGCTGCGCGAGGTCCCGTCCTCCAGTAAATCAACAGCAGAGAATGGCAAGGCAAACAGGCCGAGGACACTTGAGAAAGAGCCAGTTCTCCACACCTGTGAACCATCTGGTGTCCCCTCCCTCTGTTCTTTCTCTGATATCAGAAATCTTGATGGATCTACTGCATGTGCACCGGAGTGAAAGCCCATCTTGCTTTTCTGAGGCTTCTTATGCAAATGGGTCCTATTCCTTTGATTTGTTCTTGTGGCTCCTGGGAAAACTGGGATTACAGGATAAGAAGGAAGCTATAGCCAATGGAATGGCTCACTGGCTTCTAAAAATAGTCCTTTCCTTCTTTCTCTAACCTGCTGAAAGCATCTGAAGTATTTCCTTTGATGGAGGAACAGGGAGAGACAACTAGGAGGCGGCCCTGCCTCGGGCGCTTCATCGGATACTTACTCTGTAGCAGGTAGTACAAAAGGGCGCAGCCCCCGCTAGCCGCCACGCCGGTAAAAAAGAGCTGTTTCCCCAGAGGCATTGACATCCTGCTTCCTAGAGACTGAAAAACAAAAGATGTGAATTTATGGTTAGATTCAGGTTCATGCCAAGCGCTGCTGCCTGGACCCCACAGGGAAGGGAAAGCTAAGGAGGAAGCCAGCAAGGAGGCGAGGCCGCCTTCCCTTTCAGAAGGCCAGGGCCGGTTCTGGAGCCCAGGCCAAAGTGCCCTCCCAAGGGTGGCCCGCATCCAGGACCCAGGCCACGGGGGCAAGGGCTGAGCACAGAGCCGGCATTCAGCCCTGCTGTCCTGAGGGACAGAACACAGCCTGCGTGCCAAGTCCCGCACAGCCAGGAAGTACAACCACTTTGTCTCACGCCGTCTGGTAAACAGGAAGCTTACCCTTTTGTTGCAATAGCGGGCTTGTAAGCCTCCGAACGGGCCAGGGTGGTCTCTGGCTGCTTTCTTTCATATTCTGAAAAACGTCCCCCCCACCCCGGATGAGGACACGGTGGTCCTGACTTTCAGGCTTAATGAAGAGATGGACAGGAAGGAGACAGCTCAGCAAATTCAGGGCACCCAGCCCAGCCGGCCCGAACTCCCATCCCCTGAAGGCCAAGTGGGACTAGAAGCAGCACGTGGGTCTCGAGGGCACCAATTATTCTCCTTCCTGGTGGCCTTTTAACCACCGCTCACACCCAGGCCTTTCTGGAAAGTGTCTGATACCTGGCCATAAAGCAGAGGGGGACACCGGCTTAGATGAGTCACAGTTCAAAGGCGCGCACGGCCAAGACAAATCACATAAACGAGCAGCCCCTGAGAAGTGCCGACAGGCAGCTTCAACCCGGCTCCAGCTAACTTGGCTCCAGCTAACTTCACTACGCGGGCCAAGCCTGGAGGGATCTTCCGATTTTTCAAGAGGCCTTTTATGGAAAACTGCCTGAATTCTAAATGTTGACAGCCAATTAAAAAAAGAAAAGACCTAACAGAATACGCCTGTGAGTCAGGTTCTCTGTGGGCTTCCAGCTGGCTCTGACCACACAGGCTGCATCGGGGCATCCTCACCCTATAAGGTAATTCCTCTGCCCTCTGTGCTGACATTTCTCAAAAAAATTTAAAAAAAGATTTGGGGCAGAGATGGAAACTCCAGGTTTACATAAAGGAAGAGATAAACCGTAAGTATGTATGTCCCCGTTTGCATATTTAACCTTAGATTGTCTGTGCTTCTCTAGAAAACAAAGCCTTGGATGTGACCTAAAGGGGTGCGCAGTGCAGAACCAGGGATACTGCTAATGCCTCCACTGGCTGATCGGAGTCCAGGTAAACACATTCTCACCATCTGCTTCTCCACTTTCCAGAACACGGAGAGCAAGAACACACCTGTCATTTCTGACACCTGAAGTTGAGTGAATCCTGAAGGGAAGAAGGCCTGTTGGAGAAAGTTCCTCATGTGGATACTCTTTCTGGGAACTGATCATTAAACACACCCTCTGACAGGGCTAAAGTTGACCAGTTCTACACAGAAATATCATCAAATCCAGGGTTTAGATAAATCGAATTAAAAAGGGTGAAGTTTCAGATCATCCCTGTATTATTTACTTATATATTGTTTTGTTCAACTAAGAAAAAGGTGCCGAACCCCCAAATCAATGTTATCCAGCTGCTGTGGAAGTTTCGGCTGTGCTGCAGACTAGCTAAGAGTATTTCTCAAAGTTGAGGGTCAAGTCAATTGCAGTGATGTGATCTGGGAAGAGCCATTCAGTCTCATAAGAAAAACGAGCAGAGCATCTCCAAAGAATGCATTAGTCAGATCTTGCTTAACCTGAAGGAGAGCTCAGCAGGGTGGGGCAGCGAGCAGGAGTTCCGCACGGCTGCAGCTGCCAAAGCGAGCATGAGAGACGAGGGAAAAGTCATCCTACACAGTTCAGCGACGAGCCACCCCATCCCCTCACGTGGCCTTGCAGCCACAGGTCAGCACTGAAGACCAGGTGAACCCACAACTATCTGGGGAGCGACGTTCATCTACTGTCTAACCTGAGCACACCCCGGAGGCTTCCGATGGGGAACTTGGCCCCAGAACAGCCATTACCTTCTGCCACTTCGTAGCCCAGCTTCCTTGAAAACCATCAAAGTAAAGTTGCCCTGCAATCAGACAAAAACTTCATTAAAATCACTTTTTCAGGGACTTGCCTGGCGGTCCAGTGGTTAGGACTCCGCGCTCTCACTGCTGAGGGGCCTGGGTTCAATCCCTGGTCGGGGAGCTAAGATCCCACAAGCCGCGCAGTGCAGCCAAAAAATAAATAAATAAAATCACTTTGTCAAACCCAATTCTTTCTGGTTTCTAGTTTTACACAGCCAAGATTTCTTACCGGTCTAAGCTTCAGAGCATGCAAGAAGTTACGCTGAAGTTCTGAAAGGAGCCTTATCTATACAGGGCCCTGGCTGTTCCCTCTGACTCCTCTGCCATATGAAGAAGAAGAAACAACGCCTGCTGGTTTCCTCTCTGTGTACCGTGCATGTTTTGGTGCAGCAACCAGAAAACTGGTGTGAGCGGGAGATGGTGTGGGACCGCAGCTCATATAATGGGACCTGTCCACAGACACCGACACGAGATGCTATCCATGTAAGCTGTACACCAGTGGACTAAAACAGCATCTCAGGGTTAAAAAGAAACAACAGTATATTAAGTGCATAGTAGCCATTTATGATACTGATAACAGCTAACACTCATATCTCTTGCTACTATGTGCCTGGTGGTATTCTAAGCGCTGCACATATAAGGGTTCACTGAATTCTCACAACAACCCCATGAAGTACGAACTACTGTTATCATCCCCATTTTACAGACCAGTAAACTGAGACACAGAAAGGTTAAGTAACATGCCCAGATTCACACAAATAAGTGTGTAAGTGGCAGACCTGGGATTCAGACCCAGGCAGTCCAGCTCCAGGGCTGTGCCCTCACCCACCATTACACACTGACTAAGATATCTGTGATTTCAGAGACACTGAGATGTGAAGAAAAAAAAAAAATGTCTTGGCTTTACAATGTATTTATAACGTTCAGTGCAAAAGGCCTTGTCAGGTGTGCCTTCCCTGCTATTTTTCCAGACAAAAGCGTGGCAGGTATTCACACCTTTGCTCTTCCTTTGGCTTATCAGCAAATGGTTGTTGAGGACCTGCCCTGGGTCAGACAGATGGTGCTGGGGATACAGACAATTCACACAAATTCCAACACAGACGAGGCCACGGAGCACAACCGCACAGTCAGGCACACCCACCCCTACACACACACACACACACACACACACACACACGGCACCACTCACAGGGTAAACGGCCTAGACTCACACACTCATTAAGATGGGTTTCCAGCATTTGGAAGCTGTATAAAGTGCCTTGTTCTAATTTGCACAAAGGCGCCCATGGGCGAGCAGCCCAGTTAGTGTGCCCCCACGTGTGCACCAAGAGAGGAAGCAGCACCCAGGAAGTGGTCGGCCCTGCCTGGAGGGGATCAGCAAAGGTTTCACAGAGGAAACCGACTCAGCAGAAGGAGGTGAAGGGGTAGGAAGAGGGCTTCAGATTTGCAGAAATGACGAGCAGAGGGAGAACAGAGGGGCAGAAACGAGAGCTGCAGAAGTACGGGGAGCAGAAGGGGAGCCACAGGAAATGGGTCTAGAAATAGAGGCGGTTACTGCTCAGAAAGGCCCTCTACCCTGCGCTGCTGGGTCTAGAAATAGAGGCAGTTACTGAAACGCCCTCTACCCTGCGCTGCTGGGTCTGCTCTGCAGGTGAGGAGCTGCAAGTGGGAGGAGAGGGGTGCGGCGCGAGCAGCCAGGTGACTTCTGCGACAACTCAGACCAGCGCAGTAAGGCTGGATCAAGAGGGTGGTTTCTTAAAATATTTAGGACCGTTCTTATGTATTTGCTAATTTGTACACCAGCTTCATCCAAAAAGTATGATGGGGCTAACAAGGACATGCATGTCAGAAGAGAAGTAAATAAATGGATGAGGAAATGAAGACAAATGGAAAATAATTTTAAGAAGAGAAACACAGCTGGGGTAAAGTTAGTGTCCCCAATTACACACTGTCACGCACTAGACATTTCCTCAAGGTGGCCACGGATTTGACACTGAGCTTCCTATCTGCTCAGCAGAAAAGGCAGCCTCAGCATCTACAAGGCCCAGAGCATCCATGGAGGAGTACCACACCTGCTAGTAACACACCAAGCCTGAGAAAGATCTCTCCCACACACGTTCAGAACGGGAACCTCTCAAGTGGCTGGCGTTACAAACAGCATCCCCAGATTTTTCTCTTTAAGTTCATAACTTTCAAATGACTGTTTTTTTATAACATTTCATAATGAAAACCACAATCACAGTCCACGAAAAAACATAAACAGAATTTTACAAGTGTCCCAAGCAGTGAGGACTCAGTAGGAAGCTCTGCTGGGCTACCTTGACTCCGTGGAGAGGTAAGGCAGTCGTGATCGACCTGCTCTCCATTTGCCAAAGCGGGGTGAAGGGACTGGGGCGGGAGGCGAGAAAGGGGGCTCAGTCTCTACTCCTGTTTAACCAGCTTCAGCTTACCTGCTCCGTCAGCTAGCTTTTGAATAGAGTGTTCAGCAGGCCCTGATCTCACAGAAAAAATTCTAACAGGTGCTGTAAAACTAGAGATAGACTTTAGGCTACCTCTAAGAATGTGACATTTTAAAACTAAGCTTTTGATAAGAATTGGAAATATTTAAACTTGATGTGAAAATCTGCTAGAAACTTAAATTCAATTAGTCTATTACACAGCCAATTAAGAAAAGAATTTTTTTGCTTTACCGTTAACCAAGCGGAAAGGGTCACGACCCATTTTGAAAATTAAGGGACTGGTTAGCCACAGGAAGACGGAACAAAGTACAGGCAAGGTCTCTCCAGAAAGCAGTCCTAAGTAGCTCTGCTCTGATATACGAAGGGTGACTTCAGCCTCCAAAGGCCAGTGGTCTACAAACTTTTTTCAAAGTACTGAATCCCTTTCTAGAGCCAAAGGACAATCTGTTAGACAGTTGCGGGAGCTGGCACAGGGCAGGAGGGCCCTCCTGGCTGCCTCCCCTCGCATCCCCGACCAGATGAAGGAGGTCTACAGAATATCACTAGGGCGATGAACAGAAGCTCCCCTGAGGGTTCCAGCCACAGGCAGGATCTGACCTAGGAAGAGTAGAAGCAGTACCGTGGTGCAGTCTCAACCTCTGTGCACATCAGAATCACCAGAGGAGCAGCTCAGGGTCACGAAGCTATTCCACACCAAAGCTATGACATGCATCTGTCTGACACCGGAGGCCCTGGTCTTTCCACTGAGTGACGAAATACACATTACAGACCACAGATTTCAGAACAATCAGCTTCTCATACAAGTGATACGCGCTGTCCAAAAGCCACTCCAAAAGTTCACAGGTGCCACTGTATCCCCAAGTCATAATTTCAGGGGTCAAGACAGAACAAAGAGACATAAAATCCACTCAGAAGGAGAAGGAGAGAGAGGTCTTCCCTATTTGTTGAATGACACTGCCCACAGCTACTGCCACTCTTAAGGACTACACATCCTTCCAGCCTTTATAAAATGAAACCATGACGGGGAGGGAGGGCAGAGGAGGGGAGAGAATCAGGCTTAAGAAAACAGACATGAAAAAATTAAGGCAGTAAGAATTAAAATTAGACTGAAAGAATAAGGAAGGAATAAAGCCAAAAAGACCAATAGAGGAAAAAACAGAATTTAAGAAGTAGGAATAGCACAAAAGAAATAAAACAGGGCTAAACTTTAAAAGAATGAAATGTATTATATTTGAGATAAGGGAGACAAAAAAGGCTAATAACAAAACCCAAAAGTATAACAGCATGCAAGTAAATGTGATAAAAGATTTTTTAAAAACTAAAAGGACATAAATGTTCTCACCAAAAATAAATAAATGTTAAGGGATGGATTTGTTAACTAACTCATTAGAGGGAATCCTTTCACAGTGTTTACGTTATGTATATCAAATCACCAGTTGTATACTTTAAATATCTTACAATTTTATTTGTCAATTATACCTCAGTAAAAATGAAAAAAAAAAAGGTGATTATGTTAAAATGAGGCCAGTAGGGTAGAGCTCTAATCCATTATGACTAGTGTCCTCATATGAAGAGGAAGAGACGCCAGGGATGCAGGTGCACAGAGAAAACCATGGGAAGAACGAGACCACCTGCAAGCCAAGGAGAGAGGCCTCAGAAGAAACCAACCTGCCAACACCCTGGTCTCCAACTCCCAGTCTCCAGAACTGTGAGAAAATAAATTTCTGTTGTTGAAGCCCCTTCCCCCAAATTAAAAGACTAAGAAGGTAAGCATTTAAAAACTTAAGCATAGAAACATTAGTGCCAGCTTACCAGTTTGGGCCCTGGAGTCTTAGAATAACCAAAGGCTTCTAGAGGAATAATCTCTATTCTGAATTCAGGATAATCCCAGGCAAGCACCCTGGCAGGAGTCAGCTTTCCCCCTTGGTTAAGCTGAGTTAAGAATGTTGAGGGCAGGGGATGGTGGTGGGATGAATTGGGAGATTGGGATTGACATATATACACTAATATGTATAAAATAGATAACTAATAAGAACCTGCTGTATAAAAAATAAATTAAATAAAATTTAAAAAATATAGTTTAAATAAAGGCAGTTAATTGTAAAAAACAAACAAACAAACAAAACACCTACAAAGACACACACAAGAAAAGACAGAAAGTAGAGCCTACTTTGAACAATAACAATTTACTCAAATCTGGGAGAAATTTCCACTAATTACAGTGTGAATGAAGACAGAGACACACTCCAGTGGCCAACTGCAGCCCCGCCTCTGAAGGGTAAGAGCACAGTTGCCAGGAAGTGCATGGGAAGAGGGTGCAGCAGCCCTTCGCCTCTCTCCACCCCTAGCCCAAAGTTTCTGGGTTTGTAGCAATCAGGAAACAGGCAGCCAGCCCCAGAGTGGGTGAGTCCTGACAGCCACTCTCCCTACCCCATCCGGAAGTTCTTTTTCTATATCCATTCCGAGACTACAATCCTTATCAGTACAACCCCACAGTAAGTAGACACAGGACTGGCAGTGGCAACAATTCACTCCAAGAAATA